TAATTGCTTTAGGCTCCAGTGAGCACGCTTATTGCCGGACACCTGTGGGCTTGTCGTCCGGTCCCCCTCCCCACTAATTACAGGCCCCCTGTGGCAATACGCCTATCGTGCAACTGACCAGTGGGGTCATTGCTGGACTTGGGTCAGCCGTGTCATTTAATCAGTGTCAATTTCTTGTGTAAAAAGACCACCTTCAGTACAAATAACAAGGTGATACGGTTCACAGTTTAAGGTGATACGGGTCAATTAAGCTGATACGGCAGGGAGGATTTCAAAATGAAGCTGATACGGAGCCGTATCAGCTAAATGGCCTGGGGAGAACCCTGATTGGTTCAGGGGTTTTGGAGAAGAAGTCGAAAATGTAAATTGTTTACGGACGGACGACGACGGACAAAAGGCGATCGCAATAGGACACTTGAGACTTTGTCTCAGGTGACCTAATAAATAGGTACATACCAAGAGATAAGTTGTGTTTGTGAACAAAACTTTATATTAACATTCATAGCCACATCCTTGTTTGTTATTTACTTATTTTACCCTGAACCTAGAGACAAAGTTTATGTAAACTTAATTACAGTGCTAAGTACACAATTTACGGTTGGTGCAGGTACACTTTAAGTGTCATCAAGATAGTGTTAAAAGATTAAAAAATATTGACTGGACAATACTTTACTGGAAATGTTACACTGCTTGACCTTTGATTCTGAGGTCAAAGTCACAGCAAACCTAATTACAGTGTACTGAACACCTTAATTAGTTAAGGTGAACAACGTGTTGTTAGAAGCACCAGAAAAACTGGAAGAACCAGTACTAATACCAGTACTACAATACATATTTCACCTCATTCAAAAGAGAGGCATACTTATCTGATCGCTATGTCGTATACACACATGTTGGTGGTTCACAATGTTAGCAGGTAGATGGGCAACATAATATATCCTGTCAAAAAGACTGTACAATAAGAAAGCTACGACGAGCACCAAAGCCACTGCCAAGCAACTATTTGTTTTTTCAGTTTACCCGTTGGGTCCCACGAGTCCATATCTGCGTCCGGCAGTGATGGTGAGACTGGCATTAACGAACAGTTCCTTTCCAGCTGCTGATATAGAGAAATTCTCCACCTTAGAAAGAAACACAGAAATTACATGACAAACAATTATATCTCCATCTCAACACTTTGCTATATTTCTAAGGAGAACAAATAATGTACATTATTTATCTTAGTAATTTGAATATCTTATAAACAAGTTGAAAATTCAATATACATCTTATTTACAAGACGAACATTCAATATGTATAATAATGAGTTTTACCAATCATTTGTTGGTGGTGCATTATTATATACAGTTAGTTGTTAACTAAAACAGGGTTCTACAGGAAATGGCTTTGTTGCTATGATACTACCTTGATGTCCAGTTGGTTGTCGAGCTGTTGTGATGCTTTGGTGGACCGGGAGCTCTCTGCCTGGGACACAGAAAACTGCTCTATACTGTCAGGGCCAAGGCTCTCCAGCTGTTTCTGGTACTCCATCTACAATCAAAACATTAGAAACCATAAAGACAGGACCTAGTACTCCATATATATATGTATATATATATAAATAAAAGACAAGAGTTCATTTGACTTCCCTAGCGCTTCCTCCTCTTTAGAGGTTCATCAGGGGAATGGTTAAAGGTTAAACCGTTCCCCTGATTAACCTCCAAAGAGGAGAAAGCGCTAGGGAAGTCAAAGATTGGAAACTCTTGTCTTTTATTTTATTTTTATTTAACCATCACAAGGACTTTGATTTTTTTCTGATTTATTATATATATATATATATATATATATATATATGTATAGTAGGTACTAAATAAATAAGTCCTTGCGAAGGAAAATATAGAATGAAAACATAAATTTTTCAGATCGTCCACTAGGCCTTTCTGCCTTCTAGGGCTTCTTCAGGCGGATTGATATATAAAACACTAATATGAGAAACCATTGAGATAGGATCTATTATCTATCTAAACCCCAAACATCCATAACTATTGAAATAGGATCTGGTAGTAGCATGCAAGCAGATTTTGAAATATTCTACAATACTAGCCCAACCTACATTTTTATAGTAAATATTGAGGTTTTCACTATCCCGGAAATAAAATGTCTATCACTGGTGTTGGGCTAGTGGAACTAAGACATCTGTACATCAATGTTTGAGCACACAGGAACCTTCCTTCTAAATATCCTCAATTCTAATAGAATCTTTTTCTATGAACATACTGCATCTATGTTGCAATACATTCAAATCAGTACTGTAGTAAAAATTATGAAGGTTATATTAAAGCATTTTATCACTTGCACCAAAAATTAACCAATATGTGAGCAGATTTTTTTAAATCACACTAAATAGTTGAGTCAAAGCTAGAAAAAAATATATAATTTTTGCTTTATTTTCTACAAACCTTTTTCTTTAATTTCTTCTGTTCTTTTTTACTAAGCTTAGGTTTAGCCTCTTCTTCTTCCTCTTCTTTTTTTTCTTCAAAAGATATTAAGTTGCACATCAAATAATTATAAGAGCCTGTATATAACTCTGGGAACCATATCAAGATAAGTGTTTCAACTTCCACTTTCCTGTTCCCTTGTTAGCTATCAATATATGTGACCTACTTATAAAAATTACTTCCGAAACTTGTATAGTGCTACATAAAAAAGTTATGTAATTATCAAAACAGTTTTACTTGCATTGTTTGATGAGTCATATAACATGTTACCCTACTTTTGAAAGCAGATAATACTCAAATATTTCAATTTTTTTTCTGAAAATTTCAACAATACTTTTCAGTGTTTAAAATATGCTGAAACTTAGAACTGTAATAATGAGCCATTAATTGTTGATTGAAATCAAACTATATACTTGAAGTTATCATTGTTTGATAAAACAGCGTTTGACTCTTGTTGTAAAACATGTTGGCACTCAGAGAGCCCCCACTGTACCTACTTCTCTCCAGCTCCTCATCATACATAGCCTCCACAACTTCCTCATCATCATAAATATCATCTGGCGACACTCGATCCTCTATTTGAGTGGTCCGTGTTGCTTTTTTTGTATCTGTAGACTAAATTACAATAACAAAATGATTACTACAAGAGCATATCACAATTTGTTGTATAAGTAATTGAGTTTGTATCCCTTTCACCACTGTAGACCATAATGGACTCATCCAGATCAATGCATGGTAGAGTCAGTGGCATATAATGAAGGGGATTAGTGATTCCCTCTTTGCATAACAAATTTTATGACACATCGATCTAGAATTACCTCCCCCTGATTCCGGAGCAGATAGTGAGCTTGGCCTATCTCAATTTTGACAAAGAAAGATGGCGTCGATATACTGTCCCTGGTAGAGTCTATTAAAGTTACATAGGGGTGAAAGGGTTAAATCTACACTTTTAATATCATTTCTTCAGACTACAAATGTTTCAGCACAAGACAGCTGTAAATAAAATAAATGAACTTTGATTTTAGTTGCTTTTCCTTATTTTCTTTATTATTATAGAGAAAATTCTACAAAAATCACTTTTTCTCTGGTATATTTGTTGGCTCCAAATCCTACCCACATTTTTACTAACTAGGCATAGATACAAATAATAATATTTCAAAATGAATTTTTCAAAGATCATGTTATATGTGCGTTTCTGGGCCTAATTGGTGAGAGAAATGAAATGAGCTGTGACTACAGGTATATTTATTAATTCAGTAACTGCTAAAAACCGCGTCAAAGAGCCCAGTGGACTAGAGAGATAAGCATCATTTAACACACATCACAGGTACATAGTATTAAACAGTCACACATCTAATGAAGGAAATCTGAATGATAATATATTCCTGATCAGATTATCTTATGTCCAAAAAACTCTGTTATTTGTTATTAGTGAAGTATGTCTGACAGATCATTCACTGACAAACTAAAAAAGATAGCTAATAATAACCAGTAATTCTGTGTTTCAATGGTAATCATAACTATATAGCTAGTTACAAGTAATAACAAAATCACACCAGGGATATATAGTTATAATGTACTTGTTGATTTCTCTTAGTTTTCTTTTTTTAATTTAAAATTGAACTAACCTCTGCTCCTTTTGTAGCCTCTTCCTCTCCTTCTTCCTCTGCTGCTAAAAACTCAGCCAACTTTTTGAGTTTAGCTGATTTCCCCTTAAATCATGAAAAAAAATCTTGTCACAAATAGTTTTGTCAACACAAGAAATAAACAAGTGGGAAATGGGATAGAGAAGGGTACTGAATTGAAAAATAAAGCCACAATATAACAATTTCTTAAGATAAATATAAGCATTTCTGTGATTACTAAAGATTGAGGATTCTTGACCCAAGTGTACATTCAGCTTCTGAAGTTCTAAACAAGGAAAGTAACACAAGTATAAATTATATACACACTTCAGTACTAGACTAGTCCAGTGGAAGTAGTTTGTGTGCGCAAGAGTTTTGTGTCAAGAAATTGTTAATTAATATTCCTGTAGAATCATCAGGGCATGAGAAGCAAATACCAAAATCATAGCTGCGGGAACTATAGCTGCTAGGCCACATTGTTTCTTTTTATTATCATTGGACCATATGGTTCAATATTGTTTTTTAAATCCGGCCTAGAAGCTAGTTTCCGCAGCTTCCAGAAATAAAATAAAATGGAATAATGAAATTCAGCCAACTCGCCAGGAATTGTTGAAGCTGACAAATCATTCTTTTTAAGAATTACCAGCTTGGTCCACTAATAGATATGACTCGTTTTGTTTGTAAATATGTTTAAATTAATCTTTATAGTCAGATCAGCCATAGCTATTTGAAATTCTGACTGTAAATTGAGATTTTTATCTCAATTTACAGTCAGAAATTCAAACACCCATGGATCAGCTTATATGATATATCTATTATATATAATGTAGTCAGATCTTTTGGTACTTAATGTGTGTGTGTGTATGTTAATAATCATAATATGGTTAGTGTCTTTACATAATCCTATCGAAATTGGAGTTCTAACTGTTACAGTAGTCGTTTCGGAACATGAATAAGTCATAGCATATTGTGTGAGTTCGTATGTTCGTAATTTGTTACTATACACTTACAGGCAATTTGTGAATGAACTTTGATCGTAAAGACAATAATTGGTTACTTTTCAAAAATCAGTATACAATAAAATGGTGATGAAGTGCACAAGATTGCAGTATAGATCTCACTTTTTCTTTGTTTTTCTTCTTCTTGTTTTTATCTGGAACTTCAGCACCGCCATCGTCATCTCCCGTACCTAAACCCGCCATTCTCTCTTCTAATGTTATATCATCGTCATCGTCGTTCCACTCTTCCTGTTGCTTGTTTTTACTTTTCTTAGGCATAGTGTCGCTATAGTGGTAGAAACTCCCGCAGATTTTTGTCGAATGTTTCTTGCACAAATTGTTCGCAATTGACGTGAAACCGGAAGCATGTGGGAAATCTATGTTCTCAAACGAGACTCTACCTTACGCAACTTCCGGTTCAGCTCAATTTTAAAGCTGCATGTACGTGAAAATAAAATAAATTTCAAATAGTAAAATAAAAAAAAAAAGAAACAATTTAAGACTTAGCAGAACAAATTTTGACTATCATAATATTAAATTTCATAATTTTAGAGAGCAACCAAACCGATCCGACCACAATTGTTCGTTTACCAGGTATTAAATAAGGTCGGACCTAGTAATCTGATGCTGCTTTCAGGCGAGCCTTGACAAAACCTTGCAAGGCCTGCATAAACATTTGCAGGTCCGCCAGTATTTATACCCGAAATTGTTACATTTATAAACGGTCAAACCGGTTGTTCCGCATAAACGAACAGGCCCTAATATGCCATTTCAGTTAATAAGCTGTTGATTTAATCAGAGACGTATATATATACGATGGATTTTTTAATGGATGTTACCACGGAATTAGATCCGTGATGTTACCAACCAAATGGTATATCAATTGTATCATGAATAGGTAAACATTCATATTCATTAATAATGCAAAAATAGAAGCATTTTGACGAGTGAATAGTTTTTGATAAGTTGCAGAAAAAAACGAGTGCACAAACTATTTTCTGATGAGTTAAAGCACAAAGTATAAATTTGTCAATCACTTGATGAGTAAATCGCCTCAATTCGATATTTACTGCAGACCAAATATGCATTAAATCACGTAAATTGATGGCGTTCAGGGTATAAAGGAGTAAAGAAGGATGCTTACTCAAACATGTTGTTTGTCGAACTCACAAATCGCCGATAATGCCACTTTTCAAAATTGAGAAATCAAAGATGGTCTCTACCACCGGACCGATGTGAATTTAGTTAATACTGATCTTTCGGTTAAAAAAGGCGAATAAGGTATGAACTTGCATGAGATGTGTTTTATGGGACCTGTATTCGGGTTTGAATTAAAAGTTGACCAACTGCCTTAAATTCACATTTGTTGCAAAATATAGCGTGTTGTTTTGCTATTTAAGAAATCATTATCTTCAGTCAACTAATTATATACTGTCATGCTGTGTAAGTGGCGCAGAGAGTAGCCACTTGAATAGATGCTTCTATATACCAGGAAGGTCAGGATATGGACAGTACTTTTGACCTCAGATGCTTACATTTATTGATAGTGTGATTGAATGATTTGAAACTCTGCGATATATGTGACCGGTGATTGTACAATGCATTATACATAAAAGTTCCTCTAATGTCGCTGTTTTGATGAGATGAGAGACTCCCTTGTCTGGCCAAACTGACCAGTGTATTTCGTATTTCAACTCTTTTCACTCATTCAAATCGAAGAGACACTAACAATGCTTTAATATCGTTCGTTTTCGTCCCGCAAAAAAAAGAGACAAATAGCTCACATAAAAACACGCTTATTCTACAGTGATTTGAGTCTTGAAAGTAGAAGTTAAATAAACTGAAGTATAGACCATTGCCGAAGTTCCTTTTCCGAAAACCTCCACTCATCCTTTCCGCACTTGATAAACTCGACTCTTCGTTAATTGTGCCTGCTCTGAGTTCATTGTATCGGGAAACCCGGTGTGACCTTTTTGAGGCAGACATCTTGTTTGTTCGTTGTTTATTCTTTTCGTCCAAAAAGGCGAAATTCAATTAACCTTCATTCACGTTGTTTCTTTTTTCGGTTAGGAAAAAAAAGAACAAATGTGGGGTAAACAGAATTCTTTAGTCGTAACGACGAATTGTGTCGTCTTCTTGGTGACAGAGAAGCGACCAAACTAATTGTGCTTCACCTACTGCAATATTTGGGGTATTGAAATTTCACTTTCTTTCCTAACAAGCATTTTGTTTTTAACAAGCTTTTTGCTATTCCCTACTAAACGTTCAACATTTAGGGTAATCTAGTTTAATATAACTAGTTAACCCATTGCCAGTATATGATGTGACAGAGTGGAATACTGTGCTTTTGCCTTCAGTATGGTATTTCAGTGAGGGAGCACTCTAAAGTTCGCATCAGACCCGTGTTATCGCAAGGAGGCAAACACATCTCAGCATATTTTCTCCAGAACACATTACACTAAACGATATTAGCTCTTAATAGAACGCTTAATCCATTAAACCTTTTTTCGGGGCAAAAAGACGAAACAACGAAAATAAACGAACGAAAGAGATTCTAGCAAACCACTCAATTTTGTCGTTTACGGGACGTGAACTAAAATTCTCGTTAACTCGATTATTTATTTTTTGTGGAGAAAAGAAGAAATACGGAAAAAGAACAAATCAGCCACAGTAGAAATGAGACATTTTTGCAGTCACTGAAGGCAAGCAGTGTGTCCATTTTATCAGCAGATAACAACATGTAAATTCCATGTATTTTCAAGCATTCGACATCGCTTCTTTCATGTAAAGATGTGTCGATCCCATTTTGTCATGTATGTCATAAGTAGAAGTACGTATCACGTACTGACACAAAAATCATTTCCATATAAACATTCCGCGTACAAAGAAGTTGTTTTGTAAGGTTACCGAGGTATAAGGAACTCTTCCATCAAACTCAGGCGCAACAAACTTATTCATTATCTAACACCAGGGGTGGAGACCCAACGTCCCTGCAAGGAAGTTAGTTCCAACGTGGCGGTAGGGATCCTACGCTATTAAACGTCTTAAACCAGTGGCACACCATCCTCGACATCCAGGGGTAACGCTCATTTTCGCTCTCTACACCCCTGGAATATGTCATAGCAAAATCGAAGTCTCAATGTGCAGCACCTTGTGGATGAGACGAGAAGACTAGTTTGGTCCTTTGATGTACATAAAAAGAATCTCGCGGTCGCGTAACGGTAAAAAATGACAGGCTTTGAAGTCGGGCGTGGCTCCTTTGTATTCTTCAAAGGACAGGTATCGGCCTAGTGATTAGTCAGGTGGGTTTCTTTTACCTGACACCGATCAAATAGCTAGCCGCGTGTCTTCATTTTTGCTATGACATATTTCAGGGGTGTAGAGAACGAAAGTGAGCGTAACTCCTGGATATCGCGGATTGTGTCACGGTAGCTCTTTCAGTCACCTATATATACTAATAAGTTTCAAAGCGTTCATCTCGTGGTGATGTAAGAGAGGTTAGCTCAACATTTGAACACTGCATCAAGGCTTTCAACTGAAGAAAACGTATACACACACCAAACGATTGTATTCAACCTTGTGACCCCAGATATATTGTAATGTACTCAAAATACACAAAACTGCGATTGGATGCGCCAGAGATATAACAATGATAACATTTTGAAGATTCACAAATTAACACATTTCCATTGGGAAGTGGCTTACATCCAGTGTAAAGAGAAGGAAGAGCCGTGACACATGAAACATATCACTGCTATCGTAGCCACGACGTTGTTTGGTTGGGTGGGTTTTGGGAGAGGAAAAGATGATGATTCAATCATTAATATTAAAATTTTGATTTTTGTCATATGGCTAACACAGTTTCTATACCTAAATGTTCTGAATCGTTCTGTGTCAATCTGCACTGGCGTCAAGTCCGCCCAGTCAATTCACCAAATTAACAATAAAGTAAAACACAAGTCGAAAATGCCTTGCTAACACAAAAGATTTTATTTCACATAATTCCAACATTTTGCCAATCAAAAATTGGTTTGCTTTCTGCTATGCAGATGCTCTTTTTATGAAGGTGTAGATATCATGATTTTGATCCATTGGACCACAAACTCGGCTTGCGATATTAATCCGTCATCTACAACAGAAATATATATACAACGACCTGTTATCTATATATAGGCGAAACACACACATACAATGTTATTCACAACAAAAACACATACCGATATATTTATAGCACGTTACACAAATCAAGCAACCATTTAAGCCGGAGATTCGTCATCTGTGACGTAAGTAGCTGTGTCAGAAAACAACAGAGATCTATAGCGTGTTTAGTAATGGCTTGTCTTGAGACTCACGGTCACGGTCGAAGAAGTGGAGGATCCAGGGCAGGTCAGTGTCCTCGTGAATCACTCCGTCCCGGTCCACGTCGAGGTGGTGGAACAACACCACGGCCTCTATGGAGTCGCCTAACTTCCGGGCCATCCAATCACTAAGGAACTCGTCAGCAGTCACGATCGTGTCGTCTACAAGAGAGTTAGGATTGGGATACAATGCTTCTGGCGACCAGTTCGTAACCAAACCCTAATAGTAGTAACAGAGGTCCTATACATGGTACTTTGTGATGCTGTTTGAGAGATAACCTTCAGGGAGTCGGGATCGAGAAAAGCAGCAACACGATACAGCTTTAATTTAGCAGCCAACATTCTACCCCTTTTTCTTTCTCCCCCCCCCC